AGCACCTCCCTCTCTCCCTCTCTGTGATTTGAGAAAGCACACAGTGCTTCCCTTCTGACCTGGATTATTTTGTTAATGTGATGAGCAGCAGTTATATTCGTGTTCCTGTGAACAGCATGATTCGCACGTCTTATGGCTGAAGAACAATCCATTGGGCACACCTACCATGTGTTCTTTATCCGTTCAAAGATTGATGGGTACCTTGTCTGTTTTATGTCCTGCCCTAGTAAACTTTAACTCTGAGAAATGCAGGCATGCGGATGTCTCTCCGGTTTGCTGACTCTGATTCTTTCTGGTATTCACTGAGGAGTGGGATAGCTGGGTTGTATGTTAGCCTCTGTCTTGGATTTTAAGAAACTTCTTACACATTTCTATGGTTGCTATATTAATTCACATTCCCAGAAGCAGTGTAGAAGGCTCCTTCCGTGTGACATCCTCAGTACCACCGTTGTCTTTGTATTCTTGTATTCTCAGCCCGCTGTGAGATGGAGTCTCAAATGTAGTTTTCATTTGTGTTTCTCTAATGGCTAACGGTGTTGAACATTTTTTTCATACACTTTTGGTCATTTGTATTTCCGCTGAGAAGTCTCTCTTCAGTTCACATGCCCAAAAATATACTGAGCTCTTTGCATAATCCTCATATTAATCGTTTGTCAGATAGTAGCTGACAGACACGATCTTCTGTTCCGCAGGCTGTCTTTTCATGTCATTGACTGTTTCCTTTGCTGCACAGAAACTTAAATTTGCTGCAGTTCAAATGTCGGTTCTTGTGACATCCTGTGCTATTAGATCCCTATTAGGAAATCTTTTCCTGTGCCTATGCCTACAATTATTTCCCATATGCTTTCATCTAGTGCTTTCACAGTTTAAGTTCTTATGCCGAAGTCTCTGATCTGGGTGAGATATGGAAGCATCCTGACTGTTTTCCATCTTCTGCATAAGGACGTTCAGTCTCCCATCACAGGCCCAGCAGCAGTCTTTTCCCCAGTGTCTGTGTTTGGCACCTTGGTCAAAGATCAGATGTCTGTAGTGGTGCATCATCTCCTTGCCCCATTAGTTTACATGTTTATTTTATGCCAGAATAATGTTTTTGTTTGTAAAATCTGCATTGTGATGTCTCCAGCATTCTTCTTTTTGCTCGAGATTGTGTTGACAGCTCTGGGACATTTGTGTGTAGATGGAACATTGGAGAAGGTGACTGATTTGGGAGGCGAAGCGTGGTTGATGGAGGGAGGTCACTGGGAGCGTGGCCTGGAAGGTTCTCTCTCCTTCTCTCCAACCCTAATATCTCTCTGCTTCCTATTGCTATGAACTGTTTGTTCTCTGCCCTGCACCACGCCGTGCCACCCTGCCTTGAAGCAAGCCAATATGGAGTGAAACTTGTGCACATTGTGAACCAAAGTAAACCTCTCCTTATCTAATTTCTGGGTGTTGGGTATTGTGTCATGGGGATGAGAAACTAAGATAGTCTTCATTATATTTAGGTAAGATCCTTCTCTACCTGTTTTCTTCAGGGCTTTATCCTAAAGGCGTGTTAATTTTGTTGAAGATTTTTTTCTGCCTCTCCTGAGATGATCATGGTATTTTTATCTTTTATTTGTGTGGTATATCTATCGATTTATATATGTTGAACTATCCTTGAATCTTTGGAATGAAACATTTTTTTTAAATTTTATTTAAGAGGAAAAAGAGAAAAACACAAAACAAAACAAAGCGGTATAAGGGTACACGTAATACAGAACTACAATCATCATTGGTCACTAGAGAAATGCAAATTAAAACCACACTGGAATGAAACATTTAATGACAGTGTTTCATCTATGTATGTGTTGCTAGATTCAATTTTGTTAAATATTTTTGTATTGGCATTCATCAAGGATATTGGTTTATAATTTTCTTCTTTCATTGAGTCTTTATTTGGTTTTTTATTAGCCTGGTCAGCTGATTTATAAATCAGTTCAAAAATACCTGTTCTTTTTCATGGACTAGTTTGAGGAGAATTGGCATTAGTTTGTGTTTAAAGGTTTGATAAAATTCAGCAGTAAGTCTGTCTGGTTCTGGGCTAATTGTTGGGAGACTTTTTATTACTGTTTCAATTTAATTGCTTGTCATCGATCTGTTTACATGTTTTATATCCTGCTGGCTCAGTTTGAGTTGACTATGTGTCCAGGTATTTATCCATTTCTTGAAACTTTTTAGTGTTTGGAAGAGCGCTTACTGTCCTCTGGATTTCAGGGGTTACTGTTGTAATATTTCTGGCTTCTAACTTTATTAATTTGGATTTTCTTTTGGTTAGTTAAGCACATATCAATCTTATTTTTCTTTTCAAAGCACCAGTTCTTTCATTTGGTGTTTAATGCGTTACTTATGGTGGAACGTTTACTTTACTGGCTTTGAGATACAGCAAAGGGATTGGAATTGGCGAAGCACAGTTCCGACTGCTTTGGGTTGGTCCGAGAGCAGTGACCACGGGGTCCAGTCCCAGTCTCTAAGCCTGCTGTCTCTGTTGTTGCTCTCTTTGCCCTGCTCCCTGGATACCATCAACAAACAATTTTGTTTTTCACCTGCATCCACCTTGACATGCCTGGCCTAGAGCCACTCAGTCATAGATGGAAAACTTCTAAAATCACCAGGCAAATTAAACCTGTCCTCTTTTTAAATTGTGAGTGTCAGGTATTTTTGTCCCAGCAACAAAAAGCTGACTCGCCCACTTATTATGTTCTTTTACTCTATTTCATTAACTTCAGCTCTAATTTTTATTATTTCTTCTCTTTTACTGGTTTAGAGTTTGGTTTGTTCTCCTTTGCCTAAGTCTTTGAAATGAATTATTGGTCTATTTGTTTGAGGTCTGTCTGATATTATTAAAAATAGGTGCTTGTAGCTATGGACTTCCCTGTCCAAACTGCTTTCACTATACCCTACATAACCTTGTGTGCCTGTCTTTGTTTCAACTTGATTTTAGAAATTTTTAAGTTTTTCATTTGATTTCTTCAATAACTCTGTCATCACTGAGAAATATATGGTTCAGTCTCAGTTTGTTTAGTTTCTCTGGATGTTGATGTCTAACATCTTTCTACTATAATTTGAGAAGGTACCAGTAATTATGTCAGTTCTTTATATTTGTTACATCTGGGTTTATGTCCTAAAATATGCCCCCTTTGAAAAAGGAACATGAGCTGCTGAATGGAATGTGTATTGTGCTGCTGTGGAATGATCACTCTGTAGATGGCTGGTAAATCCGACTGAGTTGCAGTATGATTTAGCACTCTTTTAAAATTTTGTTTCTAGACGACATATTTACTTGCAGAATAACTCGTTCTTTTAGAATAATTTTTAATATAGTTGTAATGAAATCAGATCATATAGGATTGAAATTTCTTCATAGGGCAGTGGAGATTCATGGTTGAATTGTACATGCAGTATGGGCTTTTGCATTCTGGGGTTTACCCAGTCACTTCTGTCATGGTTTCGTTATCAGCCATGCAAACTCGGTCACTCTTAGAGTCCAGAGTTCTGAATCATAACATCTGTGACAATGTATGATCCCGACTAGGAGGAACCTGGCTCTGTAACTTGGGGGACAACAGAGAAATAAGAATTAGAGCCTGCCTGCATTTCAAGTCCTTCTGAGATCTTTCACCTTATTTACGTCTGGGAAGCCCTGAGAGGTAGAGCACAGCTATGGAGGACCGAAAGTTGGATGGTCACCTCTGGGAAAGAAAACACAGAGTCAAACTCAGAGGAAGGAGAACCGTGTGGATCACTGTGTTGTTATTCACTGAGCGTTTGTAACTTGCTCAAAGCAAGTTTAATGTATTTATACAATTTATAAAGACGTAACTGTTTCTGGAGCTCTCTCTTTACAGGGAATATATTTCATGTTATTGTAAGCACTGAAGAAAATTAAATCAATAAATCCACAGCCTGTAATTTGAGATACTCAATTGAAAGAAAAATGTATTGTTGTGGGAGGAAGGGGATATCTTTTAAATTAAGGAAGACTTGTAAATAACCTATCTTGACTGCACCATCCAGGCCCTCATGGGACAGCAAGAATCACCTTTATGCTGCAAGATTAAGAAAGTGTCTTTATGACACCAGCCAAGAGCAAAGGCCAGCTGCCTACATTTTAAAAGGAAGCATCTGACCCAGTAGAAAGCCAAGCAAATGAATCTCTTTCCCTGCCCCTGTCTTACTGAACTGTCCATGTGTGTCCTTCCCCTTGAGAAAGTTCCGCTGGTTAGCAGACTGAGTGTCCCAAAGCTTAGTGCATTTTCCCCTCTCGCTGATGCTGCCACAGCGAGTCACTCTGTGACCACAGGCAAGCCAATTAACCTCTCCGATAGCCACCCTTACATGTGGAGAAGGTTAACCTGCAGCTTGTTCACAGTGCTTTGAGCACTCCATGAAACACTGCCCAAAGAGTCAGCCTTGCTGTTGGACTAGAGGCCACTGCAGTTTTTAATTATATATTTGGTTGGATAGATTATAGATTTCATTGTAGATAAATGTGGCCCTTCTCCCTGGTTACAAATTAAAAGACCGATAGGTAATCTCTCTTTTATCATCTTCTCAAGCCCCCTGGAGGTTTAAGGGAATGACTGAGATTATAGATTAATAATGCATTCTTTAGTTCATATAAAAACTTATGTGCCTCTCAAGTACATAACAACTGTAAGTGACAATTTATTAGACTGTGTGTTTCATTAGATGCTACACAGATAATCCTGGCAAGACTCATGAAATGACTGGGGGCTTGCTGTCCCCTGGTCCCCTAGAATTTTTTTTCATTCTTCACATCAGCCTAGAGTATTAGAAACAGTTTTGTTGCGATGTATTTCAAAATAATCAAAAAATGATTCGCTTATTCGAGAACTCCAAACGAAGTGACTTGCTTTTGTGGACCTGGGTTGTGGATGAAACTAATGGTTTCATTTGGTCCACATGTGAATGCTACCAGCCCCAGCACAGAGTGTCATATATTTCAAACTTCTTTGCAGATTTACGGAAAAACTTTGAGCAAGATCCACAAGGAAGGGAAGTTCCTATCGAGGGCATGATCGTTCTGCACTGCCGCCCGCCTGAGGGAGTCCCCGCCGCAGAGGTAAGACTCTCAGTCCCCAGGGCTGTGCGGAGCCAGGCCCGTGTGTGCCTCAGAGAGAGGCCACTGTGTGGCCCTGCCTCTAGTGTTGGTGCTGCTGGACATTCTTGCCAGTTGCTAGAAAGGATGAAAAAATTGTAGCAGGAAAAGCTAGAGAAAAAACTGTCTCCCGTCTAATTTTTTGACCTTGAGCTCCTGTGTGGCAGTCTGGATCACACTGGATCTGTGATCTGGCACTGGTGACGTCAGATTCTCCGAGTGTCGTCACCTGAGTCCTCAGGGAAGCTCCTTGTCTGTCACTGACTTGTGGACCGGTTCAGCTTCATCTGGCAGACTAGCCAGAGGTGTGTACAGGGCAAGCGGTGTCTCTAGCCATCAGTGCCCCTCTGGCTGACTACGCCTTTACTCTTTAAGGGATACCGTCTACTGAGCATCCATTATGCCATAAGCACTGGGCTGGTGATCCACCAGCCCTCCTTCACAATGGGACTCCAAAACCTAGAACCACGACTATTTCTGCACGTGGCATGTCTTCTAGAACTTTCTGGTTCCACACTATTAAAATGTGATTATAATGAATCATAGGCTGTGGTTGTAACAAAGTCTGAGTCTTTTGGTTGCTTTGAAAGGTGTTCTTATCAACTGGTATTGTAGTCACCAAGGGACGAATGGTGAAAACTGGACATGGACTTCATAGAATTAATAAAATGTGTATAAATTTGTGAACTTTGGCCTGTGTTTAACAAAACATAGTCCAGTTGTGATTGTTCTGTGGAAAGCTGGGAAACCACTCTTGTAGCTGCTGTCTTTCATCCACTGGGAAGCAGAGATACTTTTCATTAGAAAAAGACAAAAAGCCCCAGAGACACTGCCTCGTGTTTTAGCTAAAATAGAGATGAGATTTTGTATTTCGAAGGAAGAGGAGGGGAGAGGCAAATGCAGGAACAGTTACACACTCAGAGAGTGATCATGCTGGGTGGACAGTATGCAGAGCTCAAATGCTTTCACAAAATGAGGTAAACGGACTTGAAAATTAAAGTGAACGCTCCATGTGTGATATTAAATGATTAGAAAAGAAAATGCTTATTATGAGATTTTTATTTAACGTGGAGCAGAGAGATTGATCTTGTCGGGCTGCCTTCTTGCTCCCACCGAAGAGCCCTGCCTGGCTTCCAGAGCACAGTGTTAAGTGCCTGCGGACTGCGCTGGTCTCCTCAAAGCTGCTCCACAGAGCCTGGGACTCCACCTGCCCTAAGAGCGATCCCTGCAGTCACTGCTGTCTCTTACAGTCCCAGAACTCCTGTGGTCCAGGGGCAGAAGTGTGCAGCCTCTGTCATTCTGCCAACATGGAAGTCTGCCTGTTTCTCTTCGCGTCTGTGCCGGGACCCTGTGGGCAGTGCTTGCAGCCATGCAGAGGAGTGAGGGGGAAGGTGCCAGTGCCTAACACATGCTGGATGTCTAGATGCGTTTTGACAGCTTGCATATTCATTTGGTACACCATTTGCATTTTCAAGGCATGAAAACTGATGTTTGGATCAATGACCTGTATACCAAAGGTCTCTGGCACTCCAGGAACAAATGCATTTTCCTTTATTGTCTTACAAGGCCTAGCACAGGCTGGTTTGCAGTTTTCTCACCTTGTGATCCCTTATAACTGAGTCCACTCTCTTTCATTCTTTCAGCCTGACCAAGCATCCTCTACCTCAGTCCTTTGCACATGATGATCTCTACCAGAACCATCTTTCCTGGCTTCTCCTGTGCTTGGCCATTCTGGCTTGAGGACTTGCTCAGATATGGCCTGTTGAAAATGTCACTTTCCTAATCTGCACCTATACTTCTTTTTTAAAAAAATTAATATTATTGATACATTTTTGAGGGGGGTACCAGGGATCAAACTCATCACCTTGCACTTGCCAAGCAGGTACCTGTTCCGCTGAGCTAAACCCCTGGCCTATTGATGCATTTTAGATACACATAATGATCACATTCATTACAGGGATTTGCATCTGTACATGATACGCCTGCATTCTTCCTTCCTTCCAGTCTCGTCCGCTCCCTTTAACCTTTCTCCTCTCCTTATTTACAAAAGCTTTGTCTCCATTTCTCCTTCTTTTGTCTCCCTTCCTTTTCCATCTCCTTATTTCCCTTCCCATTGAACATTTTCTTATTTCACAATATCTAGCATACATTTTGGTTCCCATTTACATTTTCAGTTTCTCACACCAGAGAAACTATGCAGTATTTCAACCTGTAGGTCTCATTTATTTCCCTGAAGAATCTGGTCTCAAGGTGTATCCATTTACCTAGAAATGTTTCAAGTGTTAGCCTTCTTTATGGCAGAGCCATGTATATATTCTTTATCTATTCACTGGTTGTTGGATTTTGGACAATTTCCAAGATTTAGATTTTTCAGACTGTGCTGCTGTAAACATGAGTGTACATATATCACCTTGGTGTGATGCTTTTAATTTTGGGGGGAAGTTATGAAGAAGGGTCAAATAGATCCTGAAGTCTTAGTTTTTTTAGGAATCTCTACCGTGATTTCCACAGTGTTTGCACGACTCTGCGCTCTCATCGACGGTACAGAAATGTTCTTTTCCCTATAGACCTGCGAGCATTTGTTATTATTGGTTGGTATGAATGATAGCCATTCTTTCTGGAGTGAGATGTAATCTCAGAATTGTTTTAATTTTGCACATCTTTTCATGTACTTATTTGCCATTTGTTCTTCTTCATCTGAGAACTGTGTATTTATTACAAATGCCTATTTTTTTATTGGGTCTTTAAATTTGGTGGAGGGACATCTGACTTTCTTTTCTTTTTCTTTTTCTTTTCTTTTTTTCTTTTCTTTTTTTTTTTTTTTTTTGAGTTCTGTATTTATTCTAGATTCCTTCGTCTGAGAAATAGCTGGAAATTTTTCTTTCCCATTCTGTGAGTTGTCTCATCACTTTTGGTTTCTTTTGCTGTGTAAAAGCTTTTTAATAAGATGAGATTCCTGTTGCTGATTCTTTATGTTAGTTCCTGTGTGATTGGATTTTTGTTCATAAAGTCTTTGCCTACACTAATGTCTCCAAGAGTTGTCCTTCTCTTCCAGCAGATTTAGTGTTTGTTTTAATATGTTGATATTTGATCCATTTTGATTTTAGTTTAATGGGTGGTGGTAGGCATGGGTATAGTTTTAGTCTCCGGTGTGCGGAAAGCCAGTTTTTCTAGCAAATTTATTCTTTCTTCCAGGGAATGTTTGGCCTCTTTGTCTATGATAAGCAAGCAGAGTGTGTCTGGAGTTGTTTCTGTGTCTTCTAATCTATTCTCTTGATCCTTGGGTCTGTTTTTTTGCAGAGCCATGTTGTTTTTATCATGCAAGATTTATAGTATTTCAGCTCAGAGATTGTGATGCCCCTCCTTGCCTTTTGGCCCAGAAGAGCCTGTGCTATTCTAGATCTCTTCTGGTTCTAAATGAATTTGAGTATTTTTTTTTTTTTTGTAGTTCTGAGAAGTATGCTGTTGGTGTCTTGATAATAATTGCGTTAAATCTGTGCAATAATTTTGGAAGTATGGCCATTTTCTGCTAGAGTTATTTCCAAAAGATGAAAAATATTAACAAAAGATGAGAAATATAAAATAAAAAGCAGCCTTTATTCTGAGAACACGGAGAGAGATGACCGGCACCCCCACCGCTGGCGTCCGGCGATCTCTCCAGCAGACACGTGGCGGGGGCCTGTAAATAGCCTCGGTTTGGGGTGGAACCTAAGGCGGGCATTAGGGATACACAGGTAGCCCACTGGTCCTAGGTTTGGCGCCATATGTAAATTTCCAGGAGCGGGAAGATGGCGTCACAGGTAACTTCCTAGGGGCAGGGGAGATGGGGCTTCCTGCTTCCGGTTGTGGCTTTCCTGGCTACAGTGTCCTATCTGGGCCAAAACCCTTTCATTTTCATTATATTGGTTCTTCCTACCCAATAGCACAGGGTATCTATTCTCTGATACCCTCTTTAATCACCTTTTTCAGAGTATAAAAGATTCTAATGTAGACACCTTTTACTTCCTTTGTTAGGTTGATGCCTAAGTATTTCATGTTTTGAATGAGAAAGGGCCACACCTGTTCTCCTTTCGCCTGCTTTATATTTTCTCTTTATCTCTTATCACAAGCATACTGCATTATCATTGCTTACTTTTTTCTCCCGCACTAAAATTTAATGAGAGGATTTTTGTTTATTTATTCATCTCTGTATCCCCAGAACATGAAATAGTGCTTCTCATAGCCATTATTGAGAAGATGAAAGATAACAAATGTTGGAAAGGATGTGGAGAAAGGAAACCATTGTACACTGCTGCTGAGAATATAAATTAATACAGCCATTATGGAATCAGTATGGAAATTCTTCAAAAAAAAAAAGCGTAAAACTGCCATATGAACCGGCAGCCCCACTGGAGAGTACATATGGGAAAGGAGATGAAAACAGGACCTTGAAGAGGTAGCTGTACCCCCACATGCATTGCAGCATTAGCATTATTCTTGATAGCTGAGACACAAATCTATCTGAGGTACCCATCAGTGGAAGACTGTGTAAAGATGATTGTGTTCATATCAAAGCAGAACAGAATCCTTTCATCTGTGACTACATGGCTGAACCTCTCATCTAGAACAGTGTGTTAAGTGTACCAAGCACAGAAAGACAAATGTCACCTAACCTCAAGTATATGTGGAATCTAAATAGGTGAAAACTAGAGGGTACAAAGTGCTTTCCAAGAGTTGGCTGGTTGTCAAAAGATTCAAATTTTCAGTCAGAGATATGAATTAAATGCAAGAAACCTGTCGTACAAAATTGTTGTAATTAACAATATATTCTTGAAAATTACTAAGACTAGATTTTAAGTGTTCTAACCGTAAAAATATTGCTAAGCGTGTAAAGTAAGGCAAATTAGCTAAATTTAACCACTCCATAACATACACATAATTAAAAATGTGCTGTGCATACTAAATATGCACAATTTTATTTACCA